GAGTCCTGAATGGAAGAAGGCACCTCTCTGCAGGTCCTGCTTCAAGCAATGCACTGGAGGCCACGTGTGTTCGTCGTCATTGTTTCCTCCTGGCTAACTGAGGTGGCCTGCTGTTCAGCTTGCTGGCTCTTTTGAATCCCACTGTGAAGTGCCCAAGGTATTTTCTCTCCATGCACTTTAGAGGGAGCCCAAGTGCCTAGGCACTAAAAAAATTAGTCACTGAACATCCCAGCATTCAAGTACGTATTTTATTCTAGCCTAAGATTAGAAAAAAATACCTGCACCACTGTTATATTATAACTCAGACTAATCTCTACTCTACTCAGTAAACTGTGCTTCGACCCTTATTTATACCGGTTGGTCCATACACTGGACTAGGATTAGGAGCAAAGGTTGCGGTCCTAAAATTGGCATACATTGTTCACTTATTTCTTCTTCATCCCATGCCAAATTACTGTCTCTGCATCTGTAAAATAGGGCCCGTGTTGAATTCAGTTCTTATTTATGGTGTATAAGTCGAGGTTTAGTGCCAAAATATTTACTTTTAAATTTCCACTTTGACTTATACACCACATTAATACTTTTGACCCCCATCCTAGCACTGCTCTGGCCTATTCTAGTAAATATTCATCACAGAGGTCCCAGCAGACCCATTTGCAGTGTGGACAAACCCTTAAATGAGGATCCCAGCGTTGATGTTTTACAGCCCAGTCTAGTTAGATCTGGGTATTTTGAACTTTGTCAGACTGGCAGATTTCATAGATCTATGATAGATAAAATACGGCAAATTCACATGCAACAGTATAATTTGCAACATAAACCAAACCATACATCTACTGAAGAACTATGCAAAAGAGTTCAGTGGAAATGAGACTGATATGTTAAGTCAGAGAACAAACAGTTTGCAGTCAAGTACTTAAAGCCATTTCTGTGGATTTGATGTTTCACTTCCACGAATAAGTATCATGTTATTTCTGAAGCCGACATTTTTCTGGAACTAATAAGTCAGATCATGACGCTGGCATATCCATGAGACTAGTCAAGCAAAACAATCATCTCTTTAAACACATGACAGTGAAATACACATTTGTTCTAGCACAAACAAAGAAACCCATTCAAATATGAAAATAGATGGGCCTGAGAAAATTTCTGAAGTAGTTGTTGAGAGGACTGACTGGTTTGGGAAAAATCCATTTTGGAAGTTCCATTTTTGACTGGAACATCTGGAATTCTGCTCCCCGCCCCCAGTGTATCCAGATATTGTTACTGTAGACATTACTTTACATCTTCCTCAGTTCAGATTACTGAAAATTGTTTCATCTGCCTATATCTCACTGCAGTTAACATGACTTATTTCTGAATTTAAATGACTGGGAAGGAAGTCAGATGGTGTAGACATGAAGGCTGCATGACAGGACAGAAACCTGCGGGAATATGGTTTCTTGAGTCTGAAAAAGCCAGTGAAATGGACTGCTGCAGCTTGGTCTGGCCTGGCTTCCCTGGCATGGGCAGCAATTGGCTTGCAGCAGCCCACTCTGAGCACCCACCACTGCCACGAGCAGGAGGCAGGTGCCAGGTGCCTCACCTTTGCCTGCTGCAATGGTTTGCTCCGCTGCTGCCACAAAAAGTTGGAGGGTGAGGCACGGAGTTGCACTCTAGCTGCAGTCCACCTGCAAACCATGGCCCTCACATGGGGCTGGAAGCAGCGGGCACTGCCCCCTGTCCCCTAGGGCTGCCCCAGCCTAGGCCACACTGCCACAGCAGGAGGCAGCAGTGAGCCTGGCTCCATGATTAGCTCTGGCTCCCCTCCATCCCACTGCTGCGCCTGCAACCAGGTCAGATCCCTCCTTCCTAAGGCCAGACCCACCTTGGCATTGGGCCTCACCACTCCTCCAAGGGACTTGACCCAGGTGCTGTGGTGTGGGCCCTGCCTGACAGGATCAACATTGTGGAACAGAGCCAGCACCGTGTCAGTGCCCATGCTACTCCCCACTTTCCCTCAGACTACTGGTGTCTGGCTGCCACAGCCCTGGGTACATGAGCGGAGCCTATCAGTGTCCATGCCGCTCCCCCACTGTGATGGGGGGGGGGGGGGGGGGGGGGGTAAAACTCTCCCTTCCCCCCAGGCTACTGGGGTCTGGC